CCCTAGATCACTCAAAATTCCTAGCTGGCCTAACTCAGGAATACAGAGAGACATATCAAGCTAAAGCCTCCGGTAACAAAGCCAAAATTCAATTCTCCGAATTACAGAACTTCAAAGCATTCAAAGTATGCAAAAAAGAAAATATCCAATGCCACACATACACCCCTCAAAATGAAAAACTAATAACAGTAGTCCTTAAGGGACTCCCCCTTTTCCCGCCAAACTCCACCGAGGCAAAAACTTTACGCCACCAGGCGCGAAGAGACCCTGGGCTCTACCAAATACATCGCCACGGAAGCAGGTCGCTCGCCTTAACGAACCACGACAACAATCACGGACCCCAAGATAAACACAACAGCCATGAAAATTACACATGAGCCGAACATTCCGGTTAAGAAGAAATTCCAGGCATTAATGCAGTGCTTTGAAACCGAAGAGAGAACAGGTAACGTAGCCAATAGAAGCATTCATTCAACTAACAAACACAAATCCCAAGAACACAAACACCACTGCTACCACCACCACCATCACAAAAAACCTGAAACCAACACCCATTTACCTTCACTCGCCTAGAATCGCAATCCTCAAAGAGTTCTCCAACAACATTCACGACACTGTTGGAGAAAAATTCGAAATCAAATGCATCGGTAAACAAACCAAACTTCAACTGTATAACCTCCAATCATACAACAAATTCATAACAGCAGCAAAAGACGGGAACGTACAATTTCATGCATTTTCTCTCCCAGAAGAAATTTTTCTTCATCCGTCGCGAAGTTTATATACCTCGACACGGCAACAGGCCAACCAATCAGAGCGCGCATCGATAGGAGAGGGGAGGCGCCGCTCTCCGATTGGTGCACGCACGCTACTCCGTTTCTACATAAATAGCTGCAGCAAACCATTGTACCTCTACATTCGACGCACCGTTTCCGTACCAGTACGAATTCTGCGAAGAGACTACCGACCGACGATGCCGCCGAAAGCCAGTGGGAAAGCCGTGAAGAAAGCTGGAAAAGCTCAGAAGAACATCAGCAAGGCTGACAAGAAGAAGAAGCGCAGGAGGAAGGAGAGCTATGCGATCTACATCTACAAAGTCTTGAAACAAGTTCATCCCGACACGGGAATCTCCAGCAAAGCCATGAGCATCATGAACAGTTTCGTCAACGATGTATTCGAACGTATTGCCGCGGAAGCATCTCGTCTGGCTCATTACAACAAACGCTCCACGATCACGTCTCGGGAAATCCAGACTGCCGTCCG